GATATCGGAATTATATCGTATCGACCAAAATTAAGAAATATATCGTGATATAAATTTTTGCCATATCGTCCAGTCCTAAATGATCATGGTTTTCAGGCTTGCCAGCACATCACAGCACAACACAGAGCATCCAGTGTTGGTCACATGACTCTATGATGTTTTCAGAACGAGTTTGTCCTGTGTGTGGTTTTTCCCCTAGTATAGGTTTATGGAGTTAATTTTGTGCCAAAAGTATTAATCAAAATTTTGAAAACCGCAAGCAAATCATTAAGCATCAGAATGAAAATATATTTTCCAAATATCAAAAAAGTTGAATAAAATCATTTTTTTCCTTCTTCTCTAATTTGTTTTGCTTCTGGAATGCTTTTCTTTGCTTTTGAATTTTTATTTTTTTTTGCTTCTGCAATTTTTTTTTGTTTATGGAATGCTTGTGGGCGGGCCTTAGCTGCTTACACGTCTATTGGTCAGCTGGAATTTGGCGTGAACACGCCTTTAACCATCTGAGCACGCCCACTCCATGACGCTTCAGAACATCGCAACATGGCGGGAAGCTCCGGAGCCAGTTTACAGCATGGAATTGCATCTTTGTAGCTCTATAATAGTGTACTTTTATTAGGAATCAGTGTATGCAACACATATTTGGCGTTCATAAAATGTCACCAACCCATCCAGTTCAGTAACTCGCTATTCCACCAACGCGCTGACCAGGGAAGTTTCTAGCTATTTAAAAGATGAGGGGCTAAGTCAAGTTTACCTGAGGCACCGCAGTTAAGTTAATACACAAAATTAACTCCCTATTGGTTATCCTAATGGGTAGCAGCATTATCTCCCTGTTCTGGAATAGTAATCTCACAGCCTTCTGGCAGTTGGGAGGCCAGATGCTCTTCCAACTTGTGCAACTCACCTCCAATGTAGTGTATGGTGATGACACAAACCTCCAGCACTTTCCCCCAAGCACCAAAAGCCTGGTTACCCAGCTGTTCATAGGGATGGATCCCTGTGAGTCAGATAAACCATAGAACAAGTGTTATTAACAAGTCATTGAAAGATCCATTGAAGATAAACAGTCTGTGTGTGCAGACCATTTATACCATGTAAGTAATCTGCATGTTTACAAATGTAGCAAGACTTTATCCTTGAGGAACATAGCAGATAGATTAGCTGGTCATCTATGCTAATCTTATTAAATGAAGCCTGGTGGAACAGTGTGTGCATTTTACCCAGCCAGGTGGGGTCTGTGATATAATGCATGANAATATTGTCTACATGGATCTAATTTATTTCATGGATAATGATCATGGCTTTCAGACTTGCCAGCACATCACAGCACAACACAACACGGAGCATCCAGTGTTGGTCACACGGCTCTATGATGTTATCAGAATGAGTTTGCCCTGCGTGTGGTTTTTCCCCCGGTGCAGGTTACCCTAAAGGGGAGCAGCATTATCTCCCTGCTCTGGAACAATAATCTCACAGCCTCCTGGCAGTCGGGAGGCCAGATGCTCCTCCCACTTGTGCTGACTCACCTCCGATGTTGTGTATGGAGATGACACAAACCTCCAGCACTTTCCCCCAAGCACCAATAGCCTGATTACTCAGCTGTTCATAGGCACGGATCCCTGCGAGTCAGATAAACCGTAGAACATGTGTTACTAACAAGTCATCGAAAAATCCATTGAAGATAAACAGTCTTCGTGTGCAGACCATCTATACCAGGTATGTCATCTGCATGCTTGCAAATCCTTGTGGCACATAGCAGATAGATTAGATGGTCATCTATGCTAATCTAATAATAAATGAAGCCTGGCGGATCAGTGTGTGCATTTTACCCAGCCAGGTGGGGTTTGTGATATAATGCATGATATGAGCAGCTTACCTACAATATCGGCGCTTCTCAGGAGAAGGTGAATTGAGTAAGCAGACAAGGTGGCGATACTGGTCAGCAGAATCCTGAAGAGCACAGACAGGCATGGACAGACTGCACACACCATGTAGTGCTAATTCCACAGCTCTATTATGCATGTCTAACACCTACAAAACCCACAGTGAAGTGGGATAGATGTGCACTGTTAATTACAACTGCTTTGCCTGCTTTTCTATTTAGGCTAAACCAGGCTGTGACTGACAATGCCTGGCTGTACCAGCAGCTGTGGTTTATAAACTCCTGTTTCTTCACTTAGTACGTTTATCAGTTTGTTAGTGAACCATGCAGAGCAACATTAAATGGCAGAGATATATTGAAGCTCCCGTTGACTTCCCAACAGATAGCAGTAGACCTGGGGCCTGTACTATGAAGCGAGGTTACTGGCTTATCCGGGTAACTTGTCGGATTTAAGGTAGTCTGGGCAAAATGTAAGTGAGCAAATATGAATTCCATTAAAACTGTGGTACTTTAAATTCGACAAGTTACCTTTGATAAGCCAGTAACCCCACGTCGTAGTACAGGCCACTGGTCTTTTGCAGTATGCGTGTGTGTGTGGACACTTTCAGCTAGTTTACTTACACGAAGAGGATGATTCCAGTGTTGGCCATGGCGTATGCCAAGCCCAGAACTCCACTACCCATGATGGTATTACTGAGGTTGAAGATGGACATTCCCAAAGAGGTCTTTCCAACAAACTGCATTTGGACAAAGAAACCAACTTTACAAAGGGGAAATTCTAACGTGCTTATTTCTTGTGCTTTATTTTGTATAATTCTCAAAATGATCTTTTTACAGCATTCACCAAATATTCTGATCTACTGTATACTGAGATATTGTTCTGCAGGGAAATATAACTCTTTCCTCTTTGTTTAAAGGACACCTATACTCACATCAGTAAACTGACTCTGGTTTTGCTCATCAGGCTTATGAGGCAGGAACTCCTCACGTTCTTCTGGAGTGGCTTCAGCATCATGAAACCTTGGCAAAGCAGTCACATCTTCATCTGTACACCTATTCAATTTTAGTTTTCAAACATATTTATTTACAACTTATGCCAATAGAAATAATACTACATTACTATGACACAATCCTGTTGATTTTTATTCCATTTTATTTCATCACTAGGCCCATCTCACCTAGTTTCAATGGTCACTTGCTCAGGGTAATGGACGCCATTCGAAGGCTTTTCCAGTTCCATGATGTTGCTACTGGATCCAATCAGGTCGTCTGATACTAATTTCCCTGGCAGGAGGGTTTCCTGGCTCTGAGGGAAACCTAGATGGTCTCAGACCTGGTGGGGCTGCAAAGAAAACCAAGAAAAGCATGATGTCAGCCAATTCTTGGTCAACATAGTTCTAACATCAAAAACATGGAACTTACAGATGTCGATAGAACAAACATTTTGCTTGATGGATTTGCAATTAAGTTGATGACCATTACAGAAAAGAAAATAAAATCTATTATAAAATCTAAGATGTACATCTGAATTAAAAGAGATCGACCTGTCATATTGTAATATAACCTGCAGTCCGTTCACTCATCTCCAGATGCACACACATCTACAATGTTGTTGTCATTCTCAGTGGTAGGAGCGTCTAACTGAGACCAGTTTGTTTAACTTGAACATTGTCAGTTTTGAAGCCTTGAATTTATTGGTACCAGTGATCGAAGCATCTCTTACGCTATCAAATTTTCCAGATCAGACGCCAGAACACCCGTTTCACAATATTACAAGTAAATCGTTACATAAAAGGAGGAAAAGTTACCTGATCCAAAGCAAACATTAGCAGCATCTGTGACAAAGAGATGGCCAGGAGGAACTTATAAAAGACCGACATACATGCACATTATGGAGCTCAAGAACTCGTGCTTCAGTGTCTCACTACTGTCTGATGCAAGACTTCCTGACTATTGGCGATACCAGTTCAGCCAGTTCTAGCTGGCAGACAGAGACTCTGAAAACTCATTCTTGAATCAACTTACCCTTTCTGAGCGCAGCTGGGCTTGGATTCGTGACTCTTTCATATATTCTTAATAATTTCATTAATTACTTCTTAATAGCTCGACCAGCCGTATTCCAGTGACCGTACTGATGTCCAGCAAGGTTAAATGATTTACCTTTTCCTTATTGTCTGTCAGAACTTTCCAAGAAAACTCTCTTTCTTTAAGTCATATAAAATAGAGAAGCATACACACACACATACACACACCCACATACACACATAGCTGAGTGGAAGATTGAAAATGAGATTAAGGCAGTCAGTGGAGAGAGACAGACAGAGTGAGAGATGAGCTGCATATATCTTAACTCTTTTTCTCCCAGCTGATCCAACTTTCATACATCTGAATGCAGCTCAAGGTGCTTTACAGACAGTGCAAATAGCCATGGGAGGTATTTCCTGCCAAAAAGAAAATGAAAATGATAACGATAAAATAAAAACACAACCTCCACATTGCCTAAGCGTGATGATCCCCCCAAAATTACAAATAAAATGAAATAACACCATTTAATTACATTCTAATTTAATTTAACTCGTTAGAACCACACTAGGGAGAAACAGGAGGGGCAGATAGGCAGGATGTGACACTTTCAATTTTCCTTCCACATTCCCCCCTTTTGAACACGTGAAACCCCACATTGTTCACAAGACATTAGACCCAGACGCCATTCCCGAAAAATCTTTGTTCCATTCTGGGTAATAAGGCACACCCATGAATTCATATAGGGAAGAGAGCAAAGGCGGTTCTCCGTCATGGCATTGACTACGTTTATGATGACCTGAGAGCTTGCTGGGCCGGATGGGGCAGCTAAGAACCACAGTGGAATCAGGGGTTCTGCAGGGGTCGGTGCAGGATGCAGGAACATAACGGACTTGGCCCTTGAGGTGAGAGAAGCTGAACCACATTTTAACAGTAAGATTATAACCATACATACGAGAGAAACCAGATAAACCAAGGATTAGTGAAGAAAACCAGCTGTCCCAGCTGTACCCGAACAGGCCATGCTGCTTATAAATTTCAGATATCTGCCTATGGTCAACGTCCTCCAGATCCTGCACGTGTTGAGATGAGTCAGAAACATATGTACAACATTCCTTCGCCATTGTGGCACTGAAGCCTCCTTTGCCAGCCAATAGGAGGTCCAATGCCATTCGATTTTGCAAAGCCACTTATTTGACTCCAGATAGTAGATCTAACCCTCTCCAGTCTTATTCATCCCTATGAGACAACGTACAGTGGTAGACAGTCCAGGAGATTACTGCTCTTCTTGAGAAGGAAATAACAAAGAGTTCTTGGGACCGTATATTTGTTTATGTTCGGCCAATGCTGTGTCATAAGCTAACTACTTTGCCCAAAAAATAACTAATTTTTGCTGTATAAGATTGTTGAAAATTTTTAGGTTTGTGATCTGTCCCATTGGATTACCGGTAATCAGATTCTATTTAGTTTTTGGCAGAATAATCATCTGATGTAACACTAATGACAGAAAGCATGCAGCTGTCACTCCCCAGGGCCCCCTGATAAAACATGACCTTGGGCCCCCTGCTCATGTTGGCACTTTCAATTGCTCACTTAATTTTACCAAGTGGGAGGGGGGTGGATTTTGGGGCCCCTACAAATTCTGCACCCCCTGAATTTGTCATGGTATCCATGCCCCACCAACACCCCTGCCTGGATAAGTTGGCGAGTGGCTACAACTGCAGAAAGAACCCTACACTGGCTACCTGTAATATTGTCCATATCTTGGACATCTCCGCTTATAAAGCCTTTGTCATCTGGATGGCACTGAGTCCATATTGGAACAAAGGAACGCTCCGAGCAGATGACTCTTTCTTCAAGAACTGGGCAAGGAATTGATAAGACCTCAAAATCCATAGGAGAGAACACATTTGCAATGTACACACAGTAAAACTCATGTGGTGTACATAAGAACATAAGAACATAAGAACTATACAAACGAGAGGAGGCCATTCGGCCCATCGAGCTCGCTTGGGGAGAACTTAACTAATAGCTCA